GTGATGTTGATTATGTCTTATAAAATTAAATGATAAAATATTTACAATGGCATACATTTATTATACATGTTTTACAATGGTATACATTTATTATAATCGATGTGGATAAAATATATCTATGGTGATTAAAAAATAAAATGAATTTATAAAATATTTACAATGGTATTTTATAATGTCCCCATGGCAGCGTTTCTGTATAATCGGGCACAACGTATCGCTTGTCATCATACGGACTCAGAGCGATTTTCGTTTCGGCTACAGTGTACACCTCATGCAGCTTCGATCTTATACAAGTCTGTTGGCGAGTCATTTCTATCTCATCATTGAGACACCGCGTGTAATCGTCGAACGTTATCGATCGCGCTACCACGTTACTCTTTACGCCTTTAGCCTTCTTTGTATCTTTCTTACCGTCTACCCTCAACACGTACATCTTCGCTCTGAGCCCGACGAATTCCGTCATTATCGCACCATTATTCTCATCCTTCATTAAACCTGGCACTTTTTTATTAGCATGTGGAATATCGTACGCGTTATCTGCTGGATAATCGCTCGTGTCAAATCTATGCTATCTACTTGGAACTTATACTTGGCGCTTTTATTTACCTTTTTTTAAAAGGTAAGTTTTTTAGGTGATATCACTACTTTTGTAGTGTTAAATATCACGTACTGTTTATTTATCAGAATATAATTGTGCACAATTATTATTTTATTATGAGAGAGAACCTCGAAATGACCGATTGTGTGATATTAAACGCTAGGGAATAATCGACGATTTTGTACGGAGCCTTCTTGCGTTCCATGATGCGCGGTCGCGTATTGCAGGAGACGTAAAGGCTTTTTTTAATTTATATCTCGTTACTCGTTACTGTCTCACTAGGTCCCTGTGTTATAGATTAGGTAAACTATAACTTATTCAAGCGAATAGATTTTTTGTTAAATTACTAACTTTATTTCAATGATACCATGCTCTTCTCTGATTTAGTCCGATTACTGGAACATTGTCGGTTCGTACACAAAACCCATATAATTTGTATATTATACAAATGTGTTCACGAATTGACAGTTCTAGGAGCAAATTCCAAAAGTGCAGAAACACTCCAGCATTCCCTCACTGACTCGGATATCAACAACGGCTGATCAGACGAAGTTGAGACTACGCTTAATCGATAGCTTCGGTACGATTTGCATAATAAAACTGTTTTTACTATTCTTCTATGTGACCCATGAGTAGAGATATTGCAATGCAAAGTCCACGGGTCTGAATTTTCGCATAATGTTTAAAACGTCGACGTATCCCAGATCGCCGATGACGATGTCCAGGCAGTGCGCCCCGTAGTTTTCGGTGTCTAGGTGTATCAATACCTTGAATTCCATGTCCACGTATCCCGGGTCGCCGATGACAACGTCCAGGCAGTGCGCTCCGTAGTTTTCGGTGTCTAGGTGTATC